CAAAAATGGACAAAAATTTGTTGTAAAAATGCTGTAATTCGCAGGTTATTAAATTTTTCTCTTCAAATGAGCACCATCTTGTAGTGATTTTCATGTAGTTTCCTTCCATCTTAGCTACGTCTTCAAAAGTGCTTGTGCCTTTCTTGTAAGGAGTCAAAATAACAGATACTCTCCATTCTAAACTTCGCAAGTAATGTAACACATTGGGCCGTATTTTACACTACTCTTATCATGCTCATTGCAGGCGTGATTTGCCATTTTTGCCAAAATTGCGCACGTTACTCTTTTTGGTGGTTTTTGCTTTTGCCTTTCACGCCAGCAAAAAAATCATGCCCTTTTGTCTTTTTGTGTATTTTGACTTCATTCCGAGTCCAGCAAAATGATTTGGTTCAATTCCGAATGTAAGCTTCCTTAACCATATTACAGGTTTCACAGGGCAAAGCGTTGTAAATTATTGTCAAATGAGCTCTTTTGAATCACAAAAATGGAGAAAAGCATTCTCCAGAACACAAACTATAAGAGAACGTCACATGCTAGTAAGTTACGCTATCAGAGAGCTTACCAAGGATTTGGAAACGATGTAACTTTAAATACGTGTTTGTCCAATTTTTGTCCAGCCTGGTGATCTCAAGAAAATGACAGAATGAATCATTTTGTGTCTTTTTAATTTCTTTTTACACGCACTAAGCAAGCATCTTCCCTGCATCTTCTTGTCCATTTCATGTTCATTGTGGCCATTTTGTTATTGACAGCAAGCTCAAGTTATGTCCAAATAAGGAAATGGATGGACAAGTCGAGTTAGGCTGGGATTGAAAGGTTTCCACATGAAGAGAAACAAACCAAAACATCGATGTCTTGGTTGACCTCTTAATCTTATGGTGTTGTTCACCAACTTTGCGGAAGGATCGGCGAGGATAACGGTAAAAATATAGGGGAAAAATGGCACTTTTTGCCCAACCTGTTTTCGGAATTTTGTTATTGTTCTTCTAATAAATCTCTTTCAGACAGAAAATTTTGCTTTTTGGGGTGCACATAGATGGAAGTTTAATTCTGCAAAGTTTTACGACACTGGCTTTAAGAATGACGAGAAATAATAAGAAATCTAGCGTGAGACCATTTTTGTTAGGCAATTTTACACCAACATCATGCACGAGGCCACACCTGTACCCAGACTCCAAGCTGTCTGTGAGAAAAACGTTTTTCGCTTCTTTCGTTCCTCAGCCAATGGAAAACCACACTTGTGTCTGGGGTTGACAAATGAATAGACTTAAACATGTAGCTTACAGTTAGCATATGTTCGAAATAAGACTTCAACTTTATCAACATGTGAACTATGCTAAATGTCAGTGTGTTGAACAAATGTAATTAAGAGCCATTTTGCCAAGTTTTTCACAGGGTAATATTTTGAAGTTTGAAAGTGGGTTTCACAAGGCTTCCTTTAGCAACTGTACAAGTGATGAACAAATTTTTGGATTCTAAAAAGGTTGTAGAGAGACTTCACCCCACTTTGATTAATGCATGCATAAATTAATCAGTATTTGATGTCATAATTAATTGTCTACAGAATGTAACAGAATGTGGTAGCAACACATGTTTTTCTGACCTGTACTGTATTCTTGGCCTTTTTCTAATTCAATTATTAAGTATTGCCTCAGAAAGCAGTACATCTATAACCTTGGGAGTGTATTTTAAGATACATGTATAGCGAAACCTGTATTAATCAAAACTATAACAAAATTCTTGAACATGATTGGCTAACAGCAGCCCGATTTGAGCATTAATTGGACAGTGTACACGTTATGCTTGTAATTGGACAGTATGCGTCATTTTGCGCACGCTGTTGCAGTGCACTGTGTTGAGTAAACTGCTGGGTTTTTCAGCATTCATAACGACCTTTTAAAATCGTTCAGCACTCAATCGATGGTTTGTTCATTTCTCGAATTTTGTCATAGTTTTGATTAATTGGTAACAGGACGTTGTGTCGTCCAATTCAGTCTGTAATCATACTCATGATCAAATCGGACTTCCGCTTCGCGGTCATCCAATTTTGTTAATCACTCATATGATTACAGACTGAATTGAACTCAGTCCTAATACCATTATTAATTATATAGCAGTGAGTTAATCCAGTTTTGTCAGCACAGCTATTATCCTTTAATTTCTGAAAACTGTCCAGTTTGGGATTTAATTTGGACAGTTTTCAATAAAGACTTCGAGTAAAAACGCAGAAACTGTCCAATTTGGGAAAAAATGGGACATTTTGTCTCAGCCAATGAAATTAAGCTATTAACCTTCTGAAGATTATCAAAGGCCACAGGAAACCTTCCGAAGATTTCCGAAGATCACCCGAACACTTCCCAGGATTTCCGAAAACTTGTGACAATCTCTGGCGATCTCTGAAGATCACCGGATGTTTTTGAAGCTTTCCCAACTTTCGGAAGATCAAGGGCCTAGTCTGTTTTTCTTCAGTTACTGTAGTTTTCCTTGCAAAGCTTATTTAATACCTCATGAGCCATATAATTAATAAGTAACAGGACTACATGCTTGTCCAATTTGGAAATAATTGGATTCAAAAAATTCCCCTGACAGCCAAATTGGACTTGGCCTGTGGCCTCGTCCAATTTTGGCTGTCCTTGGAATTTTTTTCATCCAATTATTTCCAAATTGGACAGCATGTAGTCCTATTACATATACTAAGTGGACACCCTTGGGACACTCACTGGGTAATTATGACCACTCTTTATCATTTGATGCTATACAATCATGGAATCAAAAAAACTGCCTAATCATTGGTAAACACGTTATCATTTTTGTGACACAATAGGTTACCATAGCAACAATATGACCTGCTAAAAACACCCTTAATTATAAGTTTAGGGGCTTATAATTCAAAAACGGCACGGTGAAATTTCTTAATATTACCAAATTTTGATAAGCACAATAAGGTGCAACTTTTGGCAAGTTTAAAAAATTCTGTACATAGGGTTTGGAGCCACTTAAAGTTGTGAAAATTAAAGGTGGCTCTGAACCCTATGTACAGATTTTTTGAAACTTTATCAAAAGTTGCATCTTATTGTGCTTATCAAAATTTGACGATATGAAAAAAATTCACGGTGTCTTTTGAATTATAATCCCCTAAAGCTGTAATTAAGGGTGTTTTTAGTAGGTATTTTAGGACTCAAGCTGGTGTCCACCTAATAGAGGGTGTCTGCTTAATATGGGGTCCGCTTAATACAGGTTTCACTGTACATGAAAATGATCATCGACAGGAGTTTCTTACCAGGATAAATAACATTGCTATTGTAGTCACTGACCAAAAGACACAAAGCAGCTGGGGAGGGAAATGAAGAAACTGAAAATCTTGCCATGGAATCCACTACTCTACAGTGTGTGCCAGAAATGAGTGATGGGGAATTGGAGGAAAACAAGGTAATCATTTGAACTATTTATCCAAGACATCTGAAGTTTTCCCAGTGATATTATTGTCAACAACAGAATTACACTGATAATATGCCACCACATTGATTAATCAAGCCATTCTAACAACTTAAGAGACATAACTTGTCCTTTTAGGAAAAACAGTTGTGATAAGAAGCAGCAGTCCAAAGTGGAAAGTGTGAAATTGTCTTGATGTAAATAGGAATTAAGTTATTTAATAGAAGAGCAGTTTGTATGCAGAATGTTTGCATTTGCACCTGTCAAATTTTTTTCCTATATTTCAACATTTTTCTTGCTCTATTGAACATACAATGGATTCCATTACAGTACCATATTTTTTGTGAACAGTATTTTCTTGCTGTGTGTGTGTTTTTCAAGTCAGGGTTAAGATTGCTCTCTCTGAAGCAACAATGGTGAAAAAATACCGAATGTTGTTTAACACACCTACACAAACCCACACATGGAATTTGGAGTGTTTTTGACAAAGATCATTTTGACTGAAAAATCTAGGGGAAGTTCTTGTGCATTCTTCATGAGTTTTAAATAAGTAGCTGAGGTTGGCCCAGCCACTTATTTAACACTGCAAGTTGGCTACAAACGCACGATAATGCAAAGGGCACAAAATACAGCAAATGCTTTGAGTTTTCATTTTAACAGATGTACTTCGTATTGCATAAAAATATATTGCTTCAAAATTGAGTGTAAGTCACTCTGCCAACTTAAAGATTTATCAAAAAGGGCGCAGTGCTGTACTTGTTTGTTACAAGCTAATTGCCATAGCCAGAGTAACCAGCAAAATATAATCAAGTAGGAAGCAGAACTCCAGTGGTCACTGTAACGTTAAATAACTTTAATTGAACTCCTCGAAGACATCTTGCATGATAGCAGCCAAGATCGGATGCAACTGACACACACATGAATTACAGACGACTTAAATATGTACAATCAGGTACATACCATGCATAGTATTCGCACACATAGAATGCTAATTAACTATGCTAATAAATATCGACACATCTTCCCCCGTTAACGAAAAAATTAGGTAAAAATAAAATAAATAAATAAATAATTCTGGACAAAGTCATTGAAATTTCGCTGTGACAATGCCCGTATGTCACACAACTAAGTCCTTACAACGGCTTAAGATGTTCTTATATGAATCAAACAGTCACGACAAGATAAAATCCTTCAAATGCTCCATGTTCAAGTAGGTGAATGGGCGCAGATAGTTTCGCCAGCCTTCACATGGGAAAGGACGTGCTTGCCACAATTTAAGTACCTGCGCCGACGCTCTCTCCGAGCACACAGTTTAGTAGCATCGTTGATGAGGCTAAATTCTAGCGTTACAAGAGTTCCAGAAGTTGGTAGTAAAGTCTTACAACGGCGGCCCAAAAGATGACTGGCATCCATGCCTTCACTTGGAGTATTACGCCAATCAAGGAGAGCTTGGAATTCACTGACACCAGTGGCTCGACTCTTTGTGAACACACGTTCTACAGTACGAATGGTATTCTTGGCCTTAGCATTACTTTGCAGATAACAGGGACTCAAGGTAATATGCTGAAAGTTCCATTGGTCTATGAATTTTGCAAACTCAGATGAGGCAAAGAGGGGCCCATTATCCGTGACCAGTGTATCTGGCACTCTAAATCAGCTAAAGGTGGCCATCAGACTTCTGATCACAACTTGGAGGTTTCAGACAAAAGGGAATCAACCTCTATGAAGTTGCTGAAATAGTCAACAACAACCAGCAGAGTTCGGCCTGAGTGAAAATAGATGTCCGCAGCAACCTTGCCCCAAGGACGAGGCAGAAATTTGTGTTGAAGTAATGGTTCCTGTACTTGTGAGTCGCAATGTGGAAGGAAAACGTCACACTGACCCATGCAATCCTTCATTTGGGTGCTCATTCTGGGCCAGAACATGCACTCCCGAAGGCGGGGAAGACACCCCGCAGGCCAATGTGACTCGTGTGAGCTAGGGACATAACCTCCTTTCTGAGGGTACTGGGAACAAACAGGCGAGGTCCGCNTGCTGTACGTGTACTTCCTTGTCACAGACATCAAATCGAGAGTGCTTTCTCCACTAAAAATGGACAAAAAACAACTACAGTAGGCTAATCATGGAGTTGGAAATGATTTTTTCCTTTTTCATCTACATTAGGCTGGCTGTTCCAGTTACAATGATGATAAATCAACAATCCAACCAACATTTGTTACTGGGGGATCACTCAGGCCCTATCAGTTACAAGGCTTGGCTTGGCTTAAGGTAAAATATGGCATTTACTATAACTGTTAAATATTATTATTACATATTTTGACAGTGAAAAAATAAATCAAGGGTGAGGAATGAATAAAACTTTTTTGGTTGTTAGAATTTTATCATATCAAAATTGGCATATTCAATTTGGTAACTTTGGGATATACCAGATCCTGTTTTAACTGCATCAATGTACAACTATTACATGGTATTACACATCAGAAAACTTTTAATAGTCCTTCAACTCCTTCCATGGATCTAGCCTGTACTGCCTGATGATTGGTTATTACCAGTTGATACTTGTGAAAAGGTTCAGTCCATGAAATGGCATGTTTCCTTAATCAGTTCATGGATGCCAGAAATAATCTTGATTTGTTTTTATCAACAGGTACTTTTTGAAAATGGGATGAATGGTATCTTAGCAGATGAGATGGGTCTTGGGAAAACATTACAGTGCATATCATTGCTGGCCCACTTGGTTGAAATGGGGGTCCAAGGACCATTTCTTGTCGCTGCTCCTCTCTCCACTCTTCCTAATTGGGTTGCAGAATTTCATAAATTTGCCCCAAAGGTATATTGTAACAAACTGGTACAGGTTAACAAATGATATAATATATTTAAGATGGCCAAACACGTGCGTGCTTTTGCTGATGCAATTCAGTGCGCGCACAAGGATTGCAAAAACAAACATGCCGTCAATAGAGCGATCATTTTATTCACTCAACACCTGCACTATCTGTGCTATTTTTCTCTATTATTGAATGCAGTGTGTTGATGGCTTTAATCTTTTATTACAAAGATATGTTAAGAAAGCTAACGATGCAAAGAACCCAGCAATTCTCAGCTTTTTTTTGTTACCGAAAGAACCCATTTAAATGCAGCGCATGCGCANACCAAAACTTTTCCATTACTCGCCAGCTGGCTCCCGGACGAAAAAGTTAATTTCGAGCCCTGGTCCTGGAGTGTCCTTGTAAAGTCCTTGAATTTTTAAAGTTTTATAAAGCTTTATAAAGTTACATTTTGATTAATTACATGTATGCTTTATCCATATTAATTTTCTTTTGGTTGTCTTGATTCTTCAGATCCCTGTGATACTCTATCATGGTTCACAAGAGGATCGCCTTCGTCTGAGATACCAGATGGAAAAGCTGATACCAGTGGAAGGCAAAATCTTTGCTTTTCCAGTGGTAATAACTTCCTATGAGATTTGTATGAGAGATCAGAAAAGCATGCATGGCTTGGACTGGAAATACATAATTGTTGATGAGGGTCATCGCATTAAAAACCTGAACTGTAAACTAATAAGGTGAGAGGGACTGGAAAACCAAATTTCATTATTTTTGGTTCTCCTGACCCAGTGATGAACTTTTGATGCATTGTGTAACATGAATATATTAATGCCTTGTCAAAAGATTAATTCACTGGTGAAAATATACAACTTCTGTATGCAAAAAAGGCATGCAGGTTGGTAAAACCGAGTGGTTTATTGCATACGCAATATCTTGAAAACGAAGCGAACTTTAGCGCGAAAACTATGGGACATTGGTCAACATACCTGAACAAAACTGCATGCAAAATTTGGAGCGTTTTCGACAAAGTTCACTTTTAATTAAAATACCTAACGCCCTTTTCCTGCCGAGTCCTTCAAATAAACGAAGCTGGGCCTTTGTTATGATAAACAGAGCCGATCCTTTGTTATAATAGCCAAGCCAAGCCTTTNNNNGGTTATTATATGGCTTTCATGGAAATTTTTCTTGCGGGACACGGCGGGTAGTCCCGAGCAGGCAGGATAGCTCCATCTTGCCCGCTCGGGTAGCCAATCACAGCGCAGGATTTGATTCATCTTGCCCGCTCACGGAGCTAGCCATATAATAAATTGTTATAATAAATTAATGGCAGTTGTTTTCTGGTACTTAGCACTTTTTCTTTACGAGTGAATAGGAGTGAATGTATTAGTGGCCAGCTTCAGAAGGTGATTTTCAAAACATCTGAAATCGGGATAGAACTTCAGCTTTTGACTGGAAAAGGGAAATCAGCAGTCAGATATCCACAAGTAAATGACAGTTCCACTTTGATTTCAGGACTGGCTATGGGAATTGGCTGTAGATGTGTGTAGGCACTTTACTTCACATCTTGCTCCCTATCACTGAGTCAATACAAACCAATGGCAACTGGGCAGCTGTTTAGTTCCCCCCTAAATTTCTTGGATTTTATTTGAAAATTTATTTCCATTAGTTAGATGAGCTTGTCTGTGTTTAGTTTTCAGAGGTGGTTTGATTTTAGCGCCATCAATGAGGATGATGGAAATGAGAGGATTATTGAACAAGAGAGGGAGCATCAAGTCTTACAGAGGCTTCATGCTGTAGGTTACATGCTTATATTTATAATGTAATGCACTCAGGGTTTACGTTCACAAAGTTTTTAATGGAGTCCTGTTATAACTGTACACAAGTGGAAATCTGTAAGCATATTGGTTATATCCAACATTTCTTCCTAAAAGGAATTACTGCATTATTCCTTGTGAAAATGACAATTTAAGTTCTTGAAAGCTTTTTGTTAGGGTCGTCCTTTCAGTAATTTAAGGCATAGTTCATTTAGGTAGTCCATATATGAAGCCCTATTAGGAGTTTTTTGGGATACAGGATATTTAGATAAAACATAGGCAGGCAAGGCGTGCAAGAGTTATTTTTTTGTGAACTAAAAGTCTCGGAGATAGGAGTGTTCATGGAACTGTTTACAGTAATGATTTGGTTAATTTGACAAGTGTTTTTGGTTGCGATGTACAGCAAGAAAGAAACTGGGAATTCATGATGTACATACAATGTTACATCGGTAATGGTAAGATAACTAAATAGTAAGCCATAAAATGTTTGACTGAACAAACTACATTAACCTGACACGTCTCCAGATTAATGTAGATACCATCTTATTTTCTAACAGGCAATTTGGTTTGTTCTTTGATACAACCCACACTGATTGGTGTGACATGCGCACATGCATAACTCCCTCACTCACCAATCACATAGCCCTTCCAACCCCTAAAAGGAATTTTTGCTCAAAAATACTCAAGTTTACCCTTTGTACACAACACAATGCAACAACACTACTTCACCAAAAATAGAAAGAAAGAGAAAAAAACCTCTCTGACATGTTGAAAGTCACGCAGTCTTCAAAGAACAGTTGAACAGTTTTCATACTTTTTACCTTTAAACTCATCACAAATAGGTGAGCTTGGGAAGTGGTGCCTGAAAGGTTAGCGGGGAGCAGAAGCCATAAGCGGAAGGGGAGGTATCCATGGCAACCCTGGAAGCGGGAACCACCCCCAAAAGTAGCCACTAACTGGCACCGTCACACTGAATGAATCAGTGGAAATGATCCGCAACGATCAGCTGGCAGCACAGTACGTGCAATGCAATGTGACAAAACAGCCCTGCAAATCTCCAAAGGGCCGCCCCACAAGTCACGTACTGTAAAAGGGGAAACCGCTGACTACATTGGTTTGAGTCTAACTTTGCCTAAATCATATTCAGCCACATTTAAAAATATTGGACTGAAAAGAATGTCATAAAATGCCCATCAAATCAAAAGATATATTTTAAACTGCTACTGCAGAGACGTAAAAACTGTCCTGAAATGAAAGCTTCTTTTTTGTTTAATATGCTGGGAACAATAGCTGATAACTTGTTATTTTCATTCACATCTTAAATCTAGTAGTAGAGCGGCTAAGACTCAATTCAAAAACTTACCTAATGGGAAAAGCTCACCCTTCATCTCATGCTCATAGTTATATGCCAAACACTATGTTTCTTTGACTGATTATCCAGTTGCAAATGATTATCAAACCTGCCCACAAAATCCTCAGCCTAACCCAGAGAAAATGCCAAAGTAAGCCCAATGTATGAATACTTCCTCATCTTTTATAGAAGAATAAATATGGCGGTTCTGAACTGTATCGGGATCAAATCTTCTCACATACCATTTACCTTTACAACAAGAACTTTGATTGGCTGTTTATAATAGATCCAATCTGATTGGTGTGACATACATACATCTCTCACTCACTCATCCATTGACCCATCCATAACATACCCCGACGCGCCAACTGAGAGGTATTTTAAAAAAAAAAATAACGCAAAAATTGACAGGATGCCAGATATTTGTGGAAAAAATTAATGGGATAAGCAAGCCTGCAAATAACCGTCAGTCATCGGACAATTGTCTGGTAAATTTGAGGTTTTGACAGGTAAAAGCTTAGCCTGGTCAGAGACTCTGACCTGTGCTAAACAAAAAATGTGTGCTAAACAAAAGATTTCTGTGCTAAACAAAAAATATTTTAACTGGAAATTTTCAGCTGACTATGGAACAAGTTATTTTATTAACTGCCAAACAATGGTAGACAAAAAAAGCTTTGTTATCAGTTTTGGTTTTATTCCATTTCTGAGAAATAATTTTAAATGCCACGTCAAATTGTAAACACACCACTATTCAGGCTATGTGTTAATCGACACATTTTGCGTGAAAAGATCATGAAGCCTCATTTAGTCTGAATCATGTTTGTCTGAAAAACTGCTAAAATCTGTGGTCTTATGTTGTCACTCATTGCTTGTTATCTGCAAGTGTTGTGGAATTAATTTTCAGTCATAATTTGACCCGATTAAAATTTTATGCAAATTGGATACACGGCCCAAATTTTCGTTTATCTGAATGCAATCGCGTTTAAATACTTTAAAACCTCTAAAACGTAACCAAATGTTTTTCTAGTCCGTATGATCCAAAATCAGCTTTATAGCTCTTTAAAGTCTTTTTTTACCTCTGTGGTTCAGCATAGTTTGAATTAGTTTCCGTACCACAGACATATTTTTGAGAAAAGCGTAAATGTACAAATTAGTCATGCTTTGTAATCACAACCACTTCCAATTCAAATTTCATCTAATTATGCAAATTTTTTATTCAATTGACCCCAAAAATTTTCAGGGGAAACTTGCCTTCAGAAAAAGTCAATGAATCAATTTCAGCCAATTTTCAAGTCTCTAAATATTATTGTGAGTTTTTATGCTGACAACCTGTCCATGTGGGATTTTTTGTGGTTTTCCTTAGATGTCATGGAAAACTTGATATGCAGGAAAATACAGAATACACGATGATCGAGTGAGGGAAGGCAAACTAGGGGTACAACCGTTTGTAAATTTGTCAATTTTTAACAGGTAAAATACCTGACTTAACGATTTTACACTCAGTTGACTTTACTTTTAAGCCATTCGAATATGCTACGAACATTTTGGTGAAGGGTCAGCACTCAAATACCAAAATGTCTCAAATGTCTCAAATGTCTGACCAGACTGGCTTTTTGTTAAGTCAAAACTTGTCCTTGGCCTGACAAATGACCTGCTTATACACAAAAATTATTTGCAGGCTTGGATAATGGATATTTACAACATATTTACCAGAATATCAAGTAAGAAAATTGTTGGTTTGTGATACAGTTTATTACATCTCACAGTTAGTACACGGGCTGTGATTGGTCAATTTAGGGGGCCGTAATCTACCGTACAGCCCGCTAAAATTTAAAGCTGTTTTTGTTACCAAAATGTTTCGAAGTTTATCGACAAGTGTCCTTAACTTTTTTAGCAAGTAAAAGAACAAAATTGTGTATTAACACCGACTAATGATTTTAAACGATCAGTTCCAATTGCTTTCCAGGTGTGTTAAAAATTTTAAGCCGTTCCGCATGAATAGAAATCGTTCCCAAGCCGTCAGACACTCAGTCCGTACTGTAAATTATGGATCCTCATTTTTCCCCTTTGATTTATGGTCCGCGCACTTCGCGCTTGGGCAATAAATCGATGGGGAAAAACTCGGTCCATAACTTACAGTACGGCCCTCGAACTCGGTTAGTAAGAGGTATATAATTAGGTCAAAAATAAACGGGATACGCAGGGCTCGAAAAAAAACCCGTCCAGTTGTCCGGGACAAGTAGATTTTCCCTTCGAACAAGTAACTTTCTCTCCTTACTTGCCCCATGGGCAAGGACTCAGGCAAGCTGTTCACCAACTAAATTTTTGATAACGATTTTGAGAAAAAAAGGTAAATTTTAGGCTCAAGGGTAATCAAGTGTTCAAGTAGATGAAGCTTGACAAAAATTTCAATTTATAGCATTGTTTAGTTGATTGCGTGATGCGCACTCATGGCTCACAAGTGGTTGCCTAGCATGTGATCAAAATCTGCCCCAATCAAATTTATTTCCAGGAATAAAAAATAGCTGCGTTGGGTACGAAAACGCTGTGTTTACTTGTTAAAATTTTAGCAATTTTCTGCAAGCATTTTCTAGTTTCTCTGTAAAAAACTTATCTCAACAACGATATATTAAAGCTGTAGAAATTGTACGCGAAAAGAAGCCGCATATTTTTACCGCGAAAACGAAGCCAGCATTTTTGATGCTAAAATCCAGGTAAGTCTCTCTTTTCGGTGAAACATGCAAGTTTGCCAGTGATAACATACTTGGGCGCTGCTGCGCGAAATGAAAAGTATTATATTATTAAAAAGAAATGGATAATAAGTCATCAAAATACTTTCTGAGTTCCCAGAAGATGACTTAAAATAGTTTCTTTCAAATGAAGACGTTTTCCCTCAACTGAAACTATTTTTCATTCACCCAAATGAAAAATTATGCTCTCGCCGGCTTCTCAAATTCGACACTGTGCCTGTGTCAAAACTGAAGTGGGAAGGCGACTTGTTAATTCTGCGTGTTGTAAATTTCTCGCGCTTCTCTTCACAATGATTTCATGGAGAAGACAAGATGTAGGTGAACATTCAAGGAGTCGAACACGATCTTTGACGAATTGATCAAATTGATTCAAGGCTGTATAATAACGAAGATACCCAGCGTGTAATACAGGAACTAGGAATTACATACATGAACGAACAACTACAACTTTGCAAACTTTGTTTCTTCAACTGGGAGGCACTGGCAAAAGATTTTTTTTTTTTTTTTAAATTTTATTTGTTATCTGCATGTGCTTACAGGTACAGTATTTACATTGTTACAAGTGTTAATTATTGTGTATAGGTAATATAAGTGTGATTACAAGTACAGTATTGACATTGTTACAAGTGCTAATTANATTCTGCTCTAGTTGCCGCTGTTGAGTCAGGATATAGGTCAGAGACACAGACATGTTTCAACTTGGCTCTCCCCTTGTACATTCTTGTTTTCACTTTATGGCTTTGAAACTTTACAATAATTGGTTTTACACCTTTCCTGTGGAGCTTGTGTGATATTTCGATGTCGTTTGGATTTATATCCACGTCTAAAGCCTCGGCAAGCTTAAGGACAACCTCCTCGGTTGAGGTGTACTGGCAAAAGATGCTGTGGGACAAAGTTTAATTCCTGATGACATTTTTTTATCACGTTCAAAAATTCCAGGGAAAGTTGAATTTGACGCCATAAAAGCGGAATGAACAAGTCAAAAGTTGTGGAAATATTACAATATATTGGCATGAACATGAAAGTGATCAGCACTAGTAGGACTACAGTCAAGATGGGTTTATTACATTAAAACACGCCTGTAGTTTGTCCATTTTTGGGTTCATGGGCAAGCAGGGAATTGCCCCGGGCAAGCAAAATTTGAGAGTTACTTGCCCAATGGGCAAGGTGGAATTCAAATATTTTTCGAGCCCTGGATATGGAATACTCAGGGAGCCCCCTACCCCAAGGGGGCCTCAAATATTTTTTCCAAGTTGTCCATGATATAGTTACAAAAAATAAAATAAAAAAAGTTACAATGTGATGTTTACTTACACTTATTTCTAGATCCTAACACCTTTCCTTTTGAGACGCTTGAAGACTGATGTTGAGTTGTCACTTCCACCAAAGAAGGAAGTTTTGGTTTATGCACCATTGACTCTAAAGCAGCAGACCTTCTACAAAGCTAGTTTAGACAAGACTCTCCCTGATATTGTTGGTGATAAAAAGGTATATTACGATCATGAAATCCTGAGGCTTGCAGCAGCATTAGTAGTAGCACTAAAGTAGTTACAGCAGCAACAGTAGCAGTAGCAGTGGTAGTGGCACCAACACCAGCCGTGGCAGTAGTAGCTGTAGTGTAGCTGTAGTTGTGACTGTCTTATATGTAGTAGGACTCCAATTGCACTAACCTGAAAAAGACAAGTCGAGGACAAATCTTAATATTTTTTTGGTTCATTCATGAAGAGCTGGAATGGACTACTGAATGATGTTCGTGATAATAGAGTGATTTAGCAACAGAACAGGAATGTCAGTTGATGACGGCACACGCAGCAAAAATACCTGCAAGGAACTGGGTTGACAACGCCGTCATGTTTTGACTGAAATGTGATTTAGCAAAGAGGTGTGAGGTGAATGCCCATGTTCTGGAATGATTTACTCATTGTTCTTTTGCTTTCCAAAGTTGTTGATCAATAACAAACAAACAAGGTGTTTCTCATTTGAATTTCGCCTTTTTGACCTATTACCTCACAAGTAACATGGAATGGTGTATATTCGTTTGATCAAGGGGATCGTGTTTACTGAGCAAAGCTTATATTTTTGGCCTTCAGTCCGTGCATTCGCTTTTGGTAAGTTAGATGTATAGTGCTGTAGTTATATAAGTCTTTTAAAAATTCTATGTATTAAACATAGCCTGAGTTTTATCTTGGTGTGGTCATGTATTTGTTTGCATTATATAAAAATGATGCAATCAAAATTTCGCGTAAACCAAGGCCAAAACAAATCGCAGAAATTGCAAGTCTTGCCACTGTTCACTACGCTTTGTTGATTTCACAATATACAAACAAAATTGATGACGTGGAATTCGCTTGTTTATACGGTGCGAGTTCATCAAGACTGACTTTTCCATATTATAAATTATTAACGCTTTGGCACTGATGCTTGGGATGAGTCAGAATGCTCGACTGAGATAAGATTTGGGAGGCAGGACCTAGTGCTACGTGAAAATTTGCAAATTCCAGACGAGATAGTGTGTTGTCAAAGATCTGTGTGCGAGGGAATGGAGGGAATGTGTATTCTCTTAAAAAGACTAGCGTATCCTTATCGTTAAACAGATATGGTGCACCGCTTTGGCAGAAATCTGACTGAGCTATGTCTTGTATTCAATGAGATGCTAGACTTGATCTACACAAATCATTGTCATCGTCTTAGGAACTGGGATAGGAATCCCTTTCTGCAACCAGGTCAGTTGCAGAGATATGCAGATGCCATTCACCTTCAGGGGTCACCACTCGAAAACTGTTTTGGTTTTGTGGATGGAACTTTGAGAAGTGTAGCTTGTCCAACGCAGAATGAGCCTGTCATGTATAATGGACACAAACAAGTCGACAGTATCAAATGTCAGATTGTTGTAACACCAAATAGTCTAATCGCAAACATGTCTGGCCCGTTTGAAGGCAAAAGGCATGATAATACAATATTAGGAACTGGAGGAAATGAGTCTGGTTTACTGACCGATACTGAGGTGCGTAGCCTTCTGCAATGGGGAGCCACTTTGTTTGTATGGTGACCCTGCTTATCCCTTCAGAGTACATCTCCAGGGACCATTCAGAGGCAACAATATGACTTTACAACATATCCATGAGTGAGGTCAGAGTGGTAGTGGAATTGTTGTTTGGGAACATAACAAATTATTTTAAATTTATTGACTTTAAATGCAAATGAAAGTTAATTTGAGTTCAGTGGGAAGCAGTCAAAATTTCGCATAAACCATGGATACTAGTAGTTTGATAAGGTGACGACGAAGTAAAATTTAGTTTAATATAGGTTTTAATTACAGCACGACTCTCTCTTCTCGTATCTTTTTAGCACTCCAAATTCAACATGCAAAAAGTGTAGACCAGTGTGGAAAGAAAGTAACATTTATTCTTACCTTTCCTTTGAATTAGAGCTGTCGTCCGTCAGTGCAGTAAAAATACAACAAAAGCAAAGAAAATTAACGAAAAAGATTTAATGTTATTGACTGCTTGAAGTTAAAATATGCAGCAAAGTTGTTTAATTAATTCACAGCTTTTGCAATTAGAGTTTTCCGAGTACCTTAAGGAAACATTTTAAACAAGAACCCACAAATTGTCAGAAACCCTACTCAAATTTAAAATCTGCGAGGAAATCTTTGCCCCTTTGTGTTGTCTTTTGGGAACTTGCATGAATCCATACAAAAAATTATAGCGGTACATTTAACAAATTTCTTGAGTGAAAACAACACGAAAAAAAAAAACAATCACCCTGCAAATGATTTTTAAATTCATTTCAAGAGATAGTCTTACCTTTACAACTGGAAAAATTTGGAAGAATCTCCAGCGTTCCGGTTGCGACGTGAAAGCTATCGAAATGCCGTCCTGAACTTGTTGCAAGAACAACAACGCCAGCACCGGAAGTCAAAATAGACTGGCGTCCAGACTCTTCCACGTGCTCTCGTTCCCGTTCTGTTGTTAAATCATTCTATTGTTTATTTAGGACTGTTTAAAAGTGATTGTGTAAAAGTATCCTGGAATAGCATAGGTGATTCTGGATTTCTCCCAACATCCACGAGAAACTAAAATTAATAGGTTTGAGAAATTTTAAGGGGTAAAATTACAGTGAAACATATCCAAGGGAAACAACTTTTCAGTGTTAATTAACCGTACCATTTAAACAAGATACAACAACGATGTTACAAATTAAATCAAGTTCAGAAGCTATAGACAGAGTTACATTTATAAAAATGTCAATTTTTGGAATAAGGAGAAGTTGAATTTTTGTAAACGATGTGCACCAAAACGAAGCTAATGCACTCCACTAATCTTTGATTACTGCCAGTATTTTTGTTAGGGTAAGGTGTTTTTCTTGTAAATGCCTTAAATGTACAGCCACTGACCAGTTGTAAATTATATTTTATAATTAATTATTATTATATTGTTAAATCATTATTAGATCTTCATTTCAATTTGTTGCGTGGTATTCATCAGTAATTTCAAATTTGCCCTATCACAGCATTTTGTAAGTTATAATCGAATGCTTTTTTTCCAGAAAACAGATGGCCCAGTTGAGTGCAGTAGTACTGGACGAATAAAAAGAAAGGGCCGGCAAGACATCAGTTATAAACTCTTTTTTAGTGACAACATTGATGAAGATGAAATGCAGGACTATTATTCAAGGCAAAACAACAGGTTTGAATTAAGCTCACAGTTTATTCCTCCAAAATCAAATGTAGCCTTGTTTGAATATTCCCCTTGTTTGGAAAGCCTTGTCCTGTATAATTATTTTTATTTTTATTTGAAAACTACAGTCTAAGCTTGTGACGTTGTGTAAACCTGATTGGCAGGCCCTTTTTATCAAGTCTGGAATTTTAGCTTGAAGTTTTTTTCTTAAGTTCCTTGTCTGGGTAACTGCTGATACATGATCACCTTTCTTGTGGAATTAGTTTATCGAATCATTGTAATAAATAAATTGGGAATGCACACTGCATGTCCTGTTGTTCTCTGTCACGGTGCATAAACTGAATGATCATTATGTCAAGTTGTCGGTTATCAAGGGCTTCCAGATCATTTCTTCATAACCTTTGCATTTTTTTTATTGCAATAACATTACATTACATACAAAAATTGCCTACTCTACTTACAATGTTAACATAACTTACAATTTAACGATACCAACAAAACTTACAATACTAACATTATTTACAATTTGTTACATTACTTTCATTTAGGGGGTTAGCTACAATAGGAGGCTTTCTCGCATATTGATTTGTGACTTAGACTTATGTTTCTCAATTTTAAATTTAAGAAAATACGCACGCTGATTGGTTAAAAATCGTGTTCCTATAACTCAATGGAAACAGAACTAGCACAAGCTGTTGACGTAATGATGCTGCGAGCAAAGAGAATTTACATTTTGATTATCAAAGTTAACAAGTTGTTTTCCTTGTTTTCGTCACATTGTTCTAAAAGAAATAGAAAGCATGTTCTCCATGTTTCTATCGAGTTATAGAAACACTCGTGAAAGTTTGGGAGAACTCGAAAAAGCATTTCTTGTTCTCCCAAACTTCCACTCGTATTTCTATAACTTTATAGAAACACGGTACATGTTTTCTATTTCTTAAATACAAAGGTGATTTTTCCCTCCAATCCCTAGTAGTATTGATGCCTGAAACACTGAGTTTTGTGTATTTGCACAAAGCCCTCCTTTTTTGCCAGACATGAAAACAAGGCAGATTACTATGAAATAGCAATAATATAGATCCCTCATGTACTTTTCTGTCTAGCAACAAATAATGCAAGATAATATTATTTTATTCTGGGTTCAGTGATCATGGATGATAATGATGAGTGTTTGATTGCAGGAATGTTGCCACCTGCACCAGTGCTCCAACTACAGTTGTATCAGTCTGTATGACTAATATCATGATGCAGTTAAGGAAGTGCTGTAACCATCCGTATCTGATTGAATGCCCTGTTGACCAGGAAACCTTACTGCGCAAGGTTGACGAAGAGCTGGTAACAAGTTGTGGCAAGACGCTCCTCCTTGATCGAATGTTACCTGAACTTAAAAAGAGAGGACACAAGGTACTACTTCAAGAATAATTAATATCTTTCACTGCTGGAGCTGGAAATAACACTCTGACTTCAATGATAGAAATAGTTTAAATAATTATTAGAACTGGAGTAAATGATTTTATGGCTTTATAGTTTTCTTTTTCAATTGTTTTTATACTTGGAGGGTCTCTCCAACGATCATATGATACAAAATGTTTATACCATTAATCAACAGTAATAATTCTTATTGCGATGTCTGGTCACATTACTTTTCAATATTAAATTGGTTCCATTTAAGTATCCAAAGATTTGATTTTTTTTCTTCAATTACTCTGTAACTTTAAAATCTACCATGGAATACTAGCTATAAAATGTGAAAACCAACAATGTTTCAATATTGGCTGAATGTCAGTATCATGTTTAAATGAAATGCTATAAATACTCAACACATGTACAAAAAACAGGTCATTAACAAAAGAAATGCATATGTTCAAGATGTTTTGTCAAACATAGAGTTCTCCATGAATGATCTCAGTCTGTGTACTCAAATTTGGATTTAATTTCTTTACGAACAGCATCTATTAGATGTGAAAATCCAATTTCCCTTGCCACTTTCTCTTTGTGCTTCCCAGAGGGAGCTTATCCCTATGAAGTAGCTACAAATGTATCAGCATTGTCCACAGTTCATTGTCCAAGACCTCCGTTTATGTCATAGTTCACAGTTCTATAGTTTCAAAGAGGGTAATAATTTGGGCTAGCAAAATGTTGAAGATTAACATTCCTTTCAACTTAGGTGTTGCTATTCTCACAAATGACCCGTATGATGGATATCTTGGAAGATTACTGTATCCTACGGAACTATGGCTACTCCAGGCTGGATGGGCAAATGAAAGTGTCAGACAGGCAGGAAGAGGTACTTATTACATGACTAAATTAGTTTAGAGGGCCAATAACTAAAATTGTAATCCATCAAATATTTTCGCTCATACGCGATTGGTCTTAACACGTCACGTGACCGAATATTCCCCAGCTGAAACTGGGGAATATCTGAGAATATTCCCCAATTTTCAAAACTGTGCGTGTTGCAAAAAAGATTTGAAGGATAATAAACACTATAGCCTCCATTTGGCGCGAAAATATGCTCAGATATTTGTCCTTGGACATTATCTGTTCCTCGAAGCTCACAGTTTACCTAGAGCTACGCTCTCGGAAAACTGTTCGCTTCTCGGAATAGATGTCCGCGGACAAATATCCTAGCATATTTTCCCGTCAAATGGAGGCTATTGTTTATTTAACCAATCAGATTGCACCATTGCCGCTCCAATATTCTCTCAGTATTGGACGGGGCACTGTCCCAAATGATCCAGCACGATCACTCGAGAAGATATTTGGTTGTTTTATAGCTTACGTCCCTGAAAGGATTTGGTTTAAACATAAAAGATTCCATTTCTTTTTCTTCCAACTCTCTTTCACCTCTGGTTTGTTTGACATCAGGCATGAGTATACGACTAATCGGCTCCCAGTTAGAATTGTGCGCTTTTTTCCAGTTCGTGATCGTGGCGATTTTCTCTCATTTTCAGTCGTGTGAACCGTATTTGGAGAATATCGGACCTTGGTCTTTTTTGTACAAATCTTGCACTGTCAAGGACTCGGGCCGATATTCTCCCAGTATGGCCCTCACGCCTAGTTGAGGTAATTCCATCAAAGTAGAACTCACAATAGATTTTCTTTCAAACTTTACCTGTCGGCTGCTTACATCAAGAGAACTTAAATTTTGAAACAAAAAAGGGGGGCTCCGGTATTCGTTTAGGAGCAGGAGGACCTTCAATAAACCCCATAATTCCTTAAATTATCTGCTTTCAGAAATATTTATATATGAACCATTCACTATACACTTTGTGAGAGCAGAAAAATAGGGAGAAAGTTAAGTGAGAAAAACATGAATGGGTGTATTGCATCAAAGTTAAGGAGTAATTTGATGTGCGTTTCATGATAAAGGCACCCATATTTAGCCGACAGGCATTAAATACGTTCCAGGCACGCAGTGATCTTGAGAGCACATATTATCTTTTCCGAACACCAGCTATGCTCTCATTTAGTTTTTTACTCTGCAATAGAAATTGGTCTATGTTCACTTTATAGGAAAACGGTGATCGCAACATTTGAACTAAATAAAAAAAATGGTTGGGTCCCGGTACTCATTTCCGAGAAAAAAAAACGATTTTTGTCTCTCGCTAGCCGAGCCGTTTTGCAAAAGCCACCATTTTGTATATGTTGTGTATATGCACGCGCCCGTGAGAGCGCTAATGACGCAAAAATCGTGCGCAGTAGGGATGCGCAATGCAATTCTTAGGAATAACCTTAATAAGATATCTTTAACAGTTGAATAAATTGCAATAAAAGAGCGACTACATATCAAGTGCACAGCTTTATTTCCTGTCTATAAGGTTGAACGTTAAAATCATGAAAATTTTTGCAAACAGGTCTAACAGGGCTACGGGGTAAGATAAGTAGATGATTCTGCATACTGTGAAACGTCCTGCTGGTGACTTGAGTGTACAAAGAAGCATCAAGTATTGAGTGGGGTATTGTACATTACAATCAATCTTATTCTTCCGGTACATGATTGGTCTAACAATTTTTTCGTGTGATGCAACTAAACTGGAAAATATCAGTTATATCTCCTAAGTAATATTGTCCAAATTGCATTTTTTTTTTTTTTTTTTTTTT